GTAGAAACTTCAGGTTTACTTCTGAGTAGAAACTTACAGGATTGTACTGCATAAGAACTCCTTACAGCTTATATTCCAACTTAATAGTTCACTTCTTTGAAGCCATAAATATACTGGTTGTCTGTAAATGCTCAGAGTATTCTCTTGAGCACTCATTAAAATGAAGCAAACACTACAACTGCTCTTTTGTAGCTTTTCCAATTCAACCCTTGAGTTTCTAGGTAACAGAAGGCCTCAGTACTTTGGGGGCATAACACACCTATTCTTTGATACTCTTATTTCTTTCTTTCATAGTAGCCTAATTGTTCAAAGCATGTTCAGAACTTATCTTCTTTCGTACTTGGATAAGGTGGCTTCCATGCCAACTAGTAACATGTCTCTTCTTTATTTCCCGGATATTCCACTCTGTAACACTTTCTCTACTGCTTGGCTTTCCATAATTCTTGATCTTCCCACTGCAGTTTAATGAAACCACACATTTCAGTAAAGATCCAGGTTGTTTGTACATTTTGAAGTCTTTACAGAATTTAACAGGCACCTGTTAAATCACAGGTATGGAATGACTTCAGTTCACAATTTAGGAGCAGGAATCTAAAGAGGACTCAGCTTAAGGGGACTCAAAACATGGTATCACAGCTGATTATGGTATGAACCTTTCATGGCTCACTCTTGAATTGTGAAGTAACTTTTAACTGTTTAAACTAGCTTCTTTTTCATCTGCACATACATATTGATAGTCATAGCTTATGGCCATTTCAATGTTAAAAAGCTCAGGGCATTTAGTTTAAAACTATCTTTCCTGTCCTGCTGCTTTTGTGCTTAATTTTTCTGGAGAACTGGAGTTGCCTGGAACAGGAAATCAAACCAGTCATGGCAACATATGTGCTTGAAAAGCAAATGTTCCTTTCAGTGTAACTTTTCTATCAAGATGTGGGCATCTCGTTAAGATTTTGGCTCTCACCTAGGGATGCAAAGATCAAGCTGGAATCTGGCTCTGTTGAACTCGCCAGACTGCTTTCCTGTGCTCAGGCCTGGTCAGGAAGCCAGCCAACCTGAGATGAAGTCCACAAACAACCGGGAATGTTAGTGGCTTCTTTGTGCCAAGTATGCAAAGTATGCAATTCTTTGCGCAAAGTACGCAAAGCCTGCAAGTCACATTTGTGGAGGAAGAATTCCACTTGCACAGCAGATGGGCAGGTGCTGTGTTCACAAGCAAGCCTCACAGACTCACTTGGACTTGCTGGATGCCTGCGCAAACACTCAGCACAAGGTAGACTTGGGCAAAGAGGAAGTAGGGCAAGCCTCAGGTAGCTGAGCTGAAAAAGTTCGAGAAATTCAAACCCTGAACCAGATTCTTCATGAATCACTACTCTCATGCTACCCCATATCACAGGACGTCACTAGCTGGAAATCATCAGGAATTGGTTTCCAAAATCTTTGAAAGCAGGTCAGACAATGCACCTGACAATACGTGCAGAGATATAGGCAAAACAGAGTTTGTGGACATTCACACATATAAGCCTGGCAGTAAGTTTCACTGCAGTCAGTGAGGTATGTTGCCAAGTAAACAGACTTAAGAGCAGGATTGAAAATTTCAGCTGGTTGGTTTCAAGCTTAGTCATGCTTAGGACCACTGAAATAATGGGATTTATACTGGCCATCATTTCATTCTCATTGATTCTAATGGGTTCTAGTCCAGTTTTAATATTTGCTCTAAAAATCACATCCCACCTGATTATCGCATTGGACAGCCAAAGTACAACTAAATGGATCCACTGCAGCTTGGAAGTATGTCATTATGCACTGCTATTCCTCAGCTCCTTTCACTGTAAAAGCTTTTCCAGGTCTTATGCAAATTATGCTACAAGCAACAATAAAAAACAACAAAAATATAACAAAGATAAACACAGTAGTTAAAACAAATCCACAGCAGTAAATATATTGAAACATTGAAAGCCTAGAAAAACAAACTTTATTTGACTAGCACCAAAAGGGCATCAGAGTCAGCACAAAGGACATGTTCCATCAGTAGGTATAAAAACCCAGATATTTTTTCCTTCAGTCAGCATCACTGTCACCTCATGCTCATGCCACATGGATGAAAGACTGAAGATGATCTAAGCAAAGAAAAGTGCAAATATTGCTGGGACAATCTCTTAGCATCAGGATTTCCACGGCTAAGATGGATTCCTCTTTTTTCTAACATGGTTTCAGTACCCATCTTTTCTTGAAAATTAAGGTTGGAGTCTTGTGTGGTCCCCAGGAAGGCATCCCAAACAGCACAGGATAGCAAACATCTCCCTCTACAAGATTTGTGCTTTGCCCTTGCAAGTCTCCATGGTGAGAATAGGGAAGCCTCCTCAGCCCTTGCTTCTCCACTGTTGTGCTCAGACGCTGGAGAGGACAAAAAGCAGGCATACCAGTGAGAAAACTTAGATGTACAGATGTACGTATCACCCCTTTTGCCTGACTAGCTTCCAAACCAGCAGCAAAACTAAACAGACCATGGATTAGGAAAAAGGAAGCCCAACAGAAGGAGTTGGGAGATAAATATGCTTCCTCCAGCCTGCTTCTTTCTCGCTGGTGCTAGTGCAGCAGGGCACAGGAAATGATGGAATTTTCCATCCCCACCATTTCAGGATTGTTCTGCCTGTGGCATTTCTTTGAATTAGGCTGGCTTTTTAATGGACATGTTCAAGACTGCAATGTTCAGGTAAACACCATTTTAAAGAACAAAATGCACCTATTTAAAAAATGGTTACAGCTGTGTGCAACCAAGTATCACAACCCTAAATACCTTTATGCTCTCAGTATTGCAATTCTTAAACTCCAAGATCTTCCTTCCATGCCACAGAATGCAGAATAAAGATTATTTAGCTGTTTAGGATTAGTTGATTCTCAGTGAGAATGTAAAGGGCTTTTCCTCTTTAGATTGCAGGTGAAAAATACACATGTAGGAGGTATGCAGGAGGCCTCATGACCTCACTAACAGTATGAAATGGTAAAGGTTGGATAATTCTCCCATAGAGAATTAGGCCTAAATTACTTTAAAACTATATTGCTTCATGAAGCATCAGTGTATCAGACCTCCAAGATAGGGATTGTTTAATTAGGCAAGTCAAATGTCACACAATTTATTTTGAAAACTATTAACATTCTCTTAGGATTTGACATTGACATTGAGTGTAACACAGGGTCTACAGCTTCCATGTAGCTTGAAGGGCCTGATCACGCCTCATCTTGGAAGCTAAGCAGGATCAGGCCTGGTTGGAATCTGGATGGGGGACTTCAATGTTGTGAACCACCCAGAGAGCTTCGGCTATGGGTGGTATAGAAATATAATTAATAATAATAATAATAATAATAATATAATTTGTGACAAAACTTAAGTACTAATCCAGTTTTGCTTTTAAGAGACAGGTTAGCTGTCTTAGTTAGCTTGAATCATTATCTGACTTGGTTCTTTTAGAATACTTTGTACTGAGTAGTTGACTACAAGGACATTGGAAATGCAAGTTAACACCTCCAAGTGTTAATATTCCAGCTATAAAAATAGCTTTTCATATCTAGCTTGAACTGTCCAGTTAATAACGGGCCTCTGTTGAATGCATGCACTAAGCAGGATTTGGTTATCACAGAATCATCCCAGATCAGCCACAGGGATGTTTTGTTGACTGTTGACCGCTTCTTTATCAAGGAGAAATGAATCATTTCAGAAGCTGAAAGGGAAAAGAACCCTCTGATAGGGTTTTCATAGTTGACCTACAAAATAATGTAAACTAATTCTACATTCAAGACAAACAGCAGCACAAAACAACCTCTTTATGACCACTCATTTTAATTTTAAGCACGCATACAATTGTTTAAACATGCACAGGGCAAGCAGAATGTGAATAAACACATCTACTTAGGTATCCAGAGGCATCACTGGGTCGCGAAATGGAATATTAAGGATCCTGTATACTCCAAGTTTGTCTCTTACTCTAGAGAAGGTACAGTTTTGTTATTGTGTAAGAGCTGGGTTTTATAAGAGTCAGTGTAGTGTAGTGGCCAGAGTGTAGGACTGGGGACAGGAAGATCCGGGTTCTAGTCCCCACTCAGCCATAAACCTCATTGAGTGACTTTGGCCTAATTACAGACTCTCAGCTTAACCTACCTCACAGGGTTAAAAAGAGGATGGGGAATATGTAAGCTGCCTGGAATTGAAAGAAAAAAAAGCAGGATATAACTATAATAAATAAGTAAAGCCAGCAATCTGGCAATTGGGCAGTATACAAATGAAATAAAGTCCAGCAGTTAAGATGCAGTATATTTTTTTAAAGCAGCCATGCTTTTCCTCAGCATAAAACAGGAGATTTATATATGAATACCCTAAGTCCTGCCACTTGTCTGTCTCACCACATGGACTTGCTGTGATGATGTGAAGCATTAAGTGGAAATGCTGACTGGATGTGTGTAGGAAGTGCCTGAGAGGAGCAGGAGGAGGTGAAGGAGTGGGGGCAAAGTTGAGTATCTCTTGGACACGGTTTCAGCCAAAGGCATTTCCAAAAAGACATAATTATTTATGAATCCCAGTGACTGATTTGGAAAATGTAGTCAGATTTCTGACTATAGTTCTGTCTTGATAGATTGGTTTGGCTATTTTAAGGTATTTTACTTTTTGAGCACAGTTCCTCATTTATTCTTTACTTTGTTTGACAGCATGATTAAGATATGAATGAAGATACCAAAAGTAGGTCACAAATGTGGGACAGAGATTTCTTTGACTCTTTCATTTTTGTCCATCTCCAGCCACATACCATGCTCATTCCAAATTGTGACAGTTCTGTGCTTTCTTTAAATAGCTGAAAGCAAATGCTTTTGATTGTTATCTTTCGATCAGTGTCCCAAGTTTTCCAAGACAATAGTAAGAATGACAGATGGTACAAGATTTTTAAAAGCCCTTGGTAAAAGGAAGTATCAAATAAGAATCAAACATTTCCATCACAACAATGAGACACAGTAAACATTTGTATTTATTTGAACTTAACAAGAAAAAATTTAGAGCCGAAGTTTCCAACAATGCATTGTTACTGATGTTTTAAAAATAAATAGTATTAGTGTCGTATATCATATTGCAAAATATCTTCCTATAAAGCCACATATATTCTTCATACAAACTGTAGAACAATTTGAATCATAACATGAATTAATTGGGCTGTAATACTATTACTCAAATGTATTTCTAGCTATAAAATACTGCAGCAAATGACATATGCCCTTTTCAAAGTATGCTATTATTTCGGACTCTTTTAAAAGACTATTTGGTATCTATATCGCAGAACCTTGCATAAAACTGAAGAAGCTGATTTTCACCCAAAGCTTGCTTGAACTAATGTAGGAGCCAGATGGAGTTCATTAAATCTAAACATACAGGGATTAAAAATAAATCCCACAACACATTCAGAAAAAAAGTTATTTTAGTACTTGGAAATGAGAAGCTTGAGTAACTTCTTCTGAACTGTCTACAAGTGAATTAACATCTTCCATTTCAGTGCCATCAATCATTAATGTAGATTCATTAACAAACCAACAAAACTCATTGTGATTTTAAAGTGGATACTAACCTGCAGATATTTTCCAGTTAGAACTTTACAATAAAGTACTCTGGAACATCATTCAGTAATAAAACCTTGACTATTCAAAATCAGCATAGCTAAGTTCAGAACAATAATGCATCTATATTGCTTCTTTCTCTAGCTTGTTTTCTTAATTATAAAGCAACAATTTCCTCCCAAAGTGTATATATTCTATTTTATTTAAATATAGTAGGATACTAAACCATTATATCACATCTATGTCTTATTGTATTAATACAAAAAGTAAAACAATGCCACAGTACATTTGTACAATCAAGAGAGATTTCACCAAAAAACACTGTTTTTGGAACTATGTTACAATCAGTGGGTTTAGTACAGACAGACAGGCACCTCTGTTTTTATAGTTTGTTCTGACGACAAAATGATCCTACAGTACCCAAAAGTTTTAAAGAGCTGTGGCTAATACACTGGCACCTGGACAGCATTAACCAAACAGATTTTGCTAAGGCAAGCACAAATACATCAATTTGTATAAGGATATGGGGTGCACACGCATGTGTGTGTATGAGAGAGCGAGAGCGCACAAGTGAGAGAGAGACTCTTTTTCTTTATTTACAGCTTTAATTTTCCATTGCCAAGTTCTTGCAAGAACAACTTCTTTATACTTTGGAAAGAAGCCCTGACTCCGGAGCACTTGCTTTAATGAGGTTCTGAATTTCTTTGAATTTGGGATGGTCTTTGTCAGCTATCAGCTGCAACAATATAGCTTCACTAGTGGTAACAATAATTCCAGTGTGAGCAAGGCGCTGAAAAGGCAAAATACGACAATGAAGGTGATTCTAGTACTAATGTGCTATGGTTTGTTGTTATTTTAAAAAAGAAAAGAGGGATACTCCCATTAGAATTTGGAGACATAATTTCACATGTTTTTATTACAATTTAGATGAACTAAACAAGGATCTTAATAGCTGAAACTTTAAATTGCTCACACAGAATGGTATGCACAACTGCTTGTGTCCTTCATGAGACTAAAAGCGCTTTGGAAGCAGAACAGCACATCCTATGCAATTCTGCATTCATGAGAAGACACAGGGAAGGTTTATGTGTTGTCTCCTCCCAGGCAAAGGGAGAAACACAAGCTTTTCATGCATCTGGAATCCTCTGATACTCAGAATAGAAATATTGTTCTTGTCAATAACTACAAAATGTCTCCCTTTGTTTTATTTAGTTTTTTTTTTAATAAAACTCTCACTTTGTATTTGGTGCTATACGATTTATATAAGCGGCATACTAAATGAATATATGTAGCACCTTTCCAATCAATTGGATCCAGACTGTTAGCTGAACTTCTGCCATTGATTTCAACATGACCTAATTTCTGCTAACTTAGTCTGTATCCAACCACAGCTTACAAATGCAATTACTGGTTTTGCAGTTAAATATATAAAAAGCTCTTGTTGAGCAAAATGCCATGGGCAATAATTAGCAAATAATTTAATGGGATAAATATGCTTAAATTTGATAGACTTAACTTCATCTAACTGTAAATCTGTAAAACAGAAGTGTAAGAATGTCCCTTTTTCCTGAATATTGGTTTCTTTCTCTGCTGACACTCTTCTGTGGTAAGATATTTTAACCAGGGGCAGGAAGAGAAATAAGGCATAATATTAAAAAGTCTAATTTATTTAATATACATCTTAATCCCCAAAAATATTATTCTTTCTCTAGAGGAGAAAACCTATAATGGCAGCAGGCCATAAAAGAGACCCAGTGTAGGAAGTTTCTCTACCTATGGGTAAGGCATGCATGCATGCAAACCTGTGATTTAAATCTAGTCTTACTGACTTATTTTAAATTGTGATTTTTAAAATGATTTACATCGATGTGATTTAAATCAAATCCAACCTGGTCCATAATAATTGTGAATCAATAGGAAAAATAAAACAAATTGAAGCATGCCACCAGAACCACATTTCCTTCGAAAACTTGGCAAACATGAAGCTCTTAAGATGGTGTGAGAAAGACTATAACGTTACCCCAGTCAAACATCTCTGGGTTGCCACCATAGCAAAGAACCTCACCTTTCTAAGCACCTAACGTACTTCTACTAAGGAAGGTACCCAGGGAAGTACCTCTACAGAAATTAGTAAGGAGCACTGACGAAGGGCTCCTTTTAGGAACTGAGTCCCAAGATGACACATTAAATTAAACAAGGAAGTGAAGAAGTGAAGAACAGCTATTCTTTTGTAAATGCATTATACAAAAACTTCTGGTTTAACCAGCAACGTTCTGACAGCTGAATTCTCCACTAACAGGACCCACTTTAATAACAACCTTATTAGGGCTTAAATTAGAACATGCATTAGAGCTTAAATCACAGTGGCCATGTGTTCAGTGATGATCACAGCTGGTTAAATAGTCAAAACTGGTAAAAAGCACACATAGGCCTCAAGTGATAGTTCTAGCACTACCCCAAAAATTAGCCCTGATGGTTTCAGAAAACAGAACTGGTTAAACATCCATTTACTGCACTCAAGAACCACCTATCCACAGTGCTTCCATCTTATGAAGATTTAGTCTGCTGATCCAGGCCAATGCAAAAAGGGTTACCACTGGAAAGCCTGAGAACAGATAATAGCAGCCTGAGCCATTTTGTATGGTACAACAACCTACCATGTGATTTATGTGTAGAAGGCATTGCATCGTGCTGGTGCCTGTTGTTGACCAGACTGACATGGGTTATGTTGGGTAAACACATCAGCAGTAGGGGGAGTGAGGTCCAAACAACCTGTCAGCTGGGTGAACACAGCAGCCCCCCATAAGTATATTAAGTGTCAGTTCTACACAGCACACACCTGCCATGATGAGAGACACTCTGTAACAGCTCTGCTTAACATGTTTTCCCACACACAAAGTAAGGCCAGCAAGAAGGAAGAAGCCCTTGAAAGGGTTAGTGCACTGGTTCTGTCCTGAGTTTCAGGAACACCTGGCTAAGGTAGGTATCACCTATAAGGATTTAGGGCACAGGAGTGGCAATATAAAATTTCACTGCTGTTTAGTTTTTATTGTAGTTTATTGTTCTTGTATGTCATTGTTACTGTTTATGTACTACTTTACTAGTCTTTTATTGGACAAATATTTTCTAGGTGTAAATATGGGCTACAATAGACAAAAAAGATATTTTAACTTTTTTTCTACTATATTTGGATATTGATATCTACATTTTGTTAATTTGTTTATATTGTTTTACTGCTACTGACTTTTTGTTTTTGCTTTTTTGGTAAATTAATGTTGTTACCTATACTGAGGATTTAGGGACAAAGGAGCATGGCACAAATCTTCTAATTAATGAATATATTTGCATACAGTTAAAAAAACAACAACCAAGAACACGTCTATCACAAGCAGCAAAAAGACAAAATAGAAGGTACACTTTGGTGTGACAAAATATGAGGCATAGCACTACCCTGGCTTACCTCTGAGCCTGCGGCTGTTATCATTCTTATAAGCCTTGTGCGTCACAAGCATTATACAACAGATTACATTAAGCTTGCATTTAATCAATTGTAACTATTACTCCTAAGTACCAACCTTAAGGATTTTTTTACCAGTATGGAAAAGCTTGCCATTTAGTTGCAATACTAAATTCTAAGCTCTCACAATCAACACATGAGAGCTATGCAGTTATAGTCACCGGGATTTCATAACAGGAAGCTCAGGAGAAGTTCCATAACAAGAGCTACAACATAAAATCTATCTCTTCTGACTAATCTGGTCAGTTTCCTAACATGCAGATGAAAAATAATCCACATTTATCTATATATATATTTTAGCTTTTAATCCTGATGTTCCCAACTTTTGGGTTCAAGCCAATGAGATACTTAGTGAAAAGAAATTTCTATAAACATTGGTAGAAATGAGGGTTATATATTTTAGTAAGTTAAAAAAAGGATTCCTTGAGATGTCAAATTATTTGTTCTGCAGAAAAATTGATGTTTACTGCTTTTCCTCTTACATTCATCACTTCATAGAAGTGAACGAAGTCCACAATTATGCCATTCATCTAACTTTTATTGCCTAACTGTTTCAGGGTTCACTTTTGCATGCATTTTCATCTAAAAGTAATTACCTCCAAGGCAAACATTCTGTCCATCATACTTCTTGAGGAAGTTGCATCAGCCACTATGTGAACTTCCAGACCTCTGCCAACTAATTCCAGTGCTGTCTGTTGGATGCAGACATGAGTCTTAAAGAAAAACAGAAGTTAGCTTATCAACAGCTACTTAAGCAGAAAATCCATTCCTACAGGAATAGAGTGATTCCATACTACATATTTATTTTTCACACTATAAGGCAAAGAAACAGCATTCTCAGTGTAAATGCCTGTTCTTGGAAGGATCTTTACCAAAGACATAATCCTATACATGTTTAAACTGCAGTAACTAGACCGATACATAGTAATGTTTATCTAAACAATACTATTCTAGGTAGTCAATAAACATGAGAAAAATTAAGTACCTACTTCTACTCCAAATAAAACAACACTGCGTACTCCAGGAATCTCCGCTAATGCAGCCTCGACTTCAGGCAATACCATAGAAAACTTTGTTTTGGGTAACACAAGTTTAGCTCCAGTTAAATCAATTTCTTGCACTGTGCTTCCAAGACCTTTAGGATACTGCTCTGTAACAATAACCGGGATACCTAAAATTCGTGCACCTTGAAGCTGCAAAGGGAAAAAGAACCCACACAAGAATGAAATTACTTCTTTAAGCAATAAAAGAGTACCAATAAAATACAGCTACTAAACTAAGAAACAAAATATACATACCAGTCGTTGGCCTACACTGATGATATCTCCAAAATACTTGATGGCTGGTCTGAATCTTTCTTGCATATCACAACAGAAAAACACAGTGCTTGAAGGTGTGAGATTGCCCAATGTAGTTAGCTGAGACAAAGAGAAAATCAGAAATTTAATATCACAAGTCAAATGAGTCACATTTAAGCAAAAATAGTTTGCATTGGTTGGGATCCAAGTACCCACTTCAGGTGTGTTCAAGGGGCTGTATGTCTCCAGAAGGATATTTGGTTTTTTCTTTGAATGGCATAAACCCATGTCACATCTCCAACTCTCAAATCCTCTGTTTCAAAAACAAGCTGTTGAAGCAAGAGCTGCTGTTTAAGAAAGAGAAATCCAAAGCCCCTTCAACTGTGTGGATCTGGTTACGTAGTTCTTTGGATCCCAGCCACTAGCTTTGAGAATGGGTCTCGCATGCAGTTTTCCACTATTTAAATCCAGTATCAGCTGTATAATCTAAGCATAATTCAAGATATAAAGTTTAAGAGGTAACAGAAATTGACACAATTTTACAAATACCGCAACACCAAACAACATGAAATTTTATAACAAACTATGCTAACTTAAAGACCTTGTAGTATAATTGTAGAGATTTTTCTGTTTAAACATGCAGAAGATTCCACACTAATTAGTCCAGTTTAAAAAAAAACAAAACCTGAAAGTAACAATGCAATTCTTTTAAATGTCAACTCAGAACAAGGGCATATTGAGTTTAGGTAAGTATGTATATGATCATGGCCTAAGAAGGCAAGCAAAATCACTTCAACAGTTCCCAGAGTGATGATAGAGGCAACATTTTTAAAGAAAACCACAAGTATGTCACCTGTTGACCAGGTTCAGACAATGTATTTATTTCCCTAATCTACAAGAAGCTGCAGCACCCACAATCTGAGCTCATTGACAGTGCCAGCATAAGTTTTTATAACTATCCTCACATAACCCTAGAGCTGACCATGGATATGGTAAGTACAGCCAGACACAAATGCTAATTTTGAAGTAGGCTAGCTGGGTTTTTTTTTTGTGACAGGCAAGAAAAATGCAGACCAACTCTTGTGCATTTTGGAGACATTATCTGCATAAGCCAATGATTTGTATGTTTATTTGGTTTCTAAGTTATACTGTTTTATTGCTTCAAAAGTTTTTTGGATGTTCTTTTCACTTGGTGCTTCAAACAGGAATCCCAATTATTGTTGTAGAAGAATATCCTAAAGGTCCTAGAAGCCCAGCACAAGAAAATATTTGTGACTGGCCATGCCAACCATATCAGCCATTTTATGAATGAGTAGGCCAGTAGATATTCTGATAGAGTGCATGACATTCAAAATTCTAGATGTGCCCACTGACTCAAAACGGTTATGGACCCTTGCTCTAAGTAGATAAAAGTGTCTGCTTTGTATTTTTTGTCCTTTCTGCACAGTTCTCTTAAAGTCTTCCTATCAATTCTTCTCCCATTCTTCTTTCACACTTACATTGTACACCATCCCAAACTTCCCATTCCCTGGTGCTGCATTTATAGTTGTTTCTTCCTATAACAGCTTCTCTCTCTTCCCCTCTCTTTTTAAACATGACCACCATCTTAATTATATTAAAAATATTGGCCTAGCCCACCACCAAACCTGCTTATGCAGTGTTCATGGTATGACCACAGCCCAGAGTAGTAAAGCAAGGAATCACTGAGAAGTCTGCAACACCAAGACCCACCTGAAAGCTGGCCGACATACACTGCTGGGGCCCAACCCACAGTTTGAGAATAACCAAGCTTCTGCCAGTCTCACCTGAAGTTGCAATTATTACCATTTGGAACTCCACGTCAGAAACCAAAGCAACCCTTTAGGAATCATGCCTCACCATTGGCTAGGCAGGCTAAAGCTGATGGGAACTACAACTCCCCTGCTTCAGAACAATAATTTTATATTGGGACACTGACTAGCAGCAGAAGTGACTGGACATAGGAATTACTATGAGACTCAGGCTTGAATCAACCATATCCATAAAGATGGAATAGCTCTGAAAAAGGTTTCACAGCTATGCATTTCTAGTCATTAAAGCAAAAATGTTTCCAGTTCTTGCCTGTATTAAAGACTGCAAACAATATGTACAATACTTTATAAGATAAGTACATGTTGTTTAAGTAAATATAAGATGTAACACGGCTGCAAGCCAGCATGGAGTAGCTTAGAATTCAAAGATTACCCTCTAAACTTAGAAATCCAGTGTCTTTCTTGCAGATTTGCCTACTCAACCATGCCTTTGTGCTCTTTGTAATAAGATATATGTTTTCAGTAAAAAGCTGGAACACAACCCACCTCCGTGTGCCCAGAGGCATTGGGCTGCCCTTCTCCCTCTGCCAGTAGAAAACTCTTCTACCCATCCACAACCAAAAGAAGCACTGAATTAAATGCATTACAGAGCTTCAGCTTCCTGCTTTACTGAAATGAATCCAAGAAGTCTGTTTAGAAACAGTACATATATACTTCTCCTGCAAGTCTGACTATAAACATATGACTGTTATAGAAAGTAGGTATCAAAAGGTAAACTAATAGTCCATGCTTTTCAAATGCTATTTATTAGGGGTGAAAAATTATTCCCTTTAATAGAATACAATTCAGCTGTTTAACTGGTAAATTTGGAAACTTTTAATCAATGAAAGCACATATTAAAGAAACTAAGATTGCTTCTTTTCTTATATCAGGTTTGGCTCTTGAGTCTAACTTTAACAGGAAATTTAAAAAAGAAAAATTGAAAGATTTTTTTCTTCTGACAATGAATGGTAACATTGTTTCATAAAATATAGGTTCACATTTTTTAAACATCCTGAAAGGAAATAGCGCTGATATTATGTTATTTTAGCAGTATATTTAAACTTCATTATCTAACTCATAAGTGTAAAAGATTAATCAACATAAGCATGTTAAAGGTGAGGAATATATAGATTAACAAACACTTGCCATAATTATATGTTTGCAATAGCACTAGTAACAGTGGTCAGGTTTATGCATCACAGTAAGCCAGGTTGGGACTGGATGAATTATGGCTTGTCTGTGTCCAACCTTTTGTACTGCATCTTGAAAAATTATGTCATTCTCCGAACACTGAATAGCTTCTAGAGTAATGTTCAGTTTTTTCTATAGCAGTTTCCAGCCAGAACACTCAAAATTAGACTTTTAAAATGGTAAAAATGAAAGAAAATACAAAAAGAGAAAGAACCAAAGGAAAACAGTTCTTTGAACAGCGAGTACACAATTTAATACAAGAAGTTCCTTTTCAACAATGTAATATTAATATCTGCTATATTGTATTAGCATATGCTTAAACCTTGCTTTATCATATTCTACCTTAAGTGCACCTTTTTTAGACTTTCTAAACAGCTGTTGAAAGTACAACACAACCTTCAACATATTGACTAGCTCAAAAAGTTCAAGGGCACCCTAATTAGTGTGCTTAAGACAGCAATCACATAATTGAAATGTGCTGAGAAGTGCAGTTACTTGGTACCTTATTCTTACACCTCCTTAGTTTAAAGTACATAAATTAGTCTTACTTTAATGAAAATTTATTTAGGATATTGTACCCAGTCTTTTTTTGACATTTAAAAACACCAAATATTGTTGCATTTGCAAAACGCTTACGTTACTAATATTTCCACATTAATCCAGACATGAGCATAATTCTGAAGGTCCCACTTTTTATACAATTATGTTTATTCAATAAAATAATTTATCCTATGTGTGTAGCCTGGGTATCTAGAATTAGCAGTTGCATTATACTTTGCCTGCAGATGGTTCCATGCTCAGTCCCCTGTATCTCCAGGTAGGCCTAGGAAACATTTCTGTCTGAACCCTGGAGAACACAACCTGTCAGTATAGATAACACTAAACTAAATGAAGTTTTGAAATGACTTGGTTCACACATCATCCTAAGTAATGCTGGGTTGTCACCACTGGAGATTACAAGGTAGCTTAGTGTGTTATCCAATCCCAGTTTGGTCTTTTCATTGTGAGCTGCTTTGCAACCTGAAATCCATAGGGTTGCAGTAAAGTTGTTTAGGATGGCCTGTTTTGAAAGGGCTTCATGTGACTCACAAACTTAGCATAGTTGCTTCAGTTTAGAACAGTATCAGAATCACCCGGTAAAGCAGCAAAAAGTCAGACACTTTAATAAATGTGTACAAATCATCCCAAAAATTACAAAAAGATAGTTAAATTTGCACAAATCTCCCTAAAGTAAAAACATTTGACCAAACCTTCCAAAGTTGGGTAATAAATTTGCACAAATCTTCCTGAAGGTGGGAAAAAAGTCTGCCCATTAACCTCTACCTGACTAGTAAATACAAGTATACTCATTAGCAAAGCAGACTGCTGAGGTTGTACTACATCCAATATCCTCTGTCAAAACAGATGAGCAGCAATACTCTAGTAAATGTTACTAGATCCTACACAGAGTGAAGACTTGCTGCCAGAGATGTGCTTGCTTGCATTTCTAGCCTGAAAACATTTTCAAGGGAAGTTTGAAAACAGTTTAAGGTGGAACTCCTCACTAACAGTCTCATCTTGTAAACTATTCACCTAGCTCTGAACAGAACCAGGCTGTTAGCATGCTTTAAAATCAGTTTAGGAAAGAGATACCACTCCATCATTCATGTGTACCAATCAACTCCCCTTGTGTGTTGCAATGGATGATGAAAAGCTACCTCCATACAGTTAATTGCTCTTATAAATTTATAACCTACTCTGCTTTTTCAAGATTTTTTAAAAACTCAGATACCAGCACAGCTACCTTTGTTTTTCATGACGAATGTTTCTCTTGGCCTTTGTGTGATTCATCTCAGATACCTAATTAACCTTAAACACATTTCCTAACATGGCATCTGCTAAGTTTGCAAACTCTGGCTTTTATTCTAGATTAATGAATTGAGCACCTTTTCCATGCCAACTTCAGAATCACATACATCAGAATTTTCACTCACAACCTAAACATAGTTTGGGATGCATCTTTATTTACCAGAGAGTAAGTGATCTTGCTGTGGTTGTGTTGTTATTTGTCATCAAGTTGTCCCTGACTTATGAAAAACCTTTAAAGGACAGCCCTCCAAAATCTCTTCTCCATGACAACTCCATTCAGCTCTCCCAAGTCCAAGACTGACTTTCTTTATGAATTCGATCCATCTCATATTCGGTCCTCCCTTTCATCTTCTTGACTCTAAGACTTTCCCTAAAATGGTTTTCTTCCCTTCTCATGATGTGT